AAGTCACAAGCTGCCGGCTCACTCCTCACAACGACCGCAGCACATGTCCACGTCCAGACGACAACCCGAGAGAACTGTTTGCAAGATCGAACAAGAATTGCACGGTGAGTGTTTGAAACAATCTTTGACGATAATTCTTCTAATTTTGCGATTGATCTTTTTGATATATGATATTGGCACAAATGTACTTATAGCCAAAACAGGGCGCTGCAAATATTTCCGACCATGATGATTCCATTCCCATACGATTATTTGATAACTTATCATGCAGTATTGGTGATTGAATCTTAACCAGGTATTATGTTGCATAGAATACCACTGAATTAGCTCTTAGTCTGAACAGTTGATGCGGATTCAGACCACCATTTTCTGAGGCCAAAATCAGGCAATAATAGCTCAGAGCAAATAATCTCGGTTTTATATTTATAATAGCTCAGAGCAAATAATCTCGGTTTTATATTTGTTCGGAACAAGGAATTCCAGTCTGACAATATTTCCGCTATTGCCATCACAGTGCACTCTCGACGCACAGTAATTGCCCAAATACTGACTTATCTAGTTCTTGAAAAAAATAACACTATAAATTCATGGAACTTTTATAGTTTTTATTGCCATTCAGGTTCGACAGTTTTCCAGTCAAACCTGGCTGTAGGTTTTTCAAGAGTGTATTACATCAAGTTCCTTATTCTTATTGAAGTTCACGCACTTACACAATTTTTTCAGATGATAAATTTAAACCTTTTTGTGTTCAAAGAAAGAAATCTTGCGAAAGCTGATACTTGACCCATAATATCAGTATGATCAATTCAGGATAAAAGGTTGGCCACGGAAGAACGTATAAAGGAAATCGGGACATCTCAAACACCCTGTCCTATGCTGTGTTATTGAAAATTGGGATAATCTCAATACCTTTTGCAGTGTGTCGTTCACTAGTTCACAGTGCGCCATTCCGGTTTGACCACTATATAGGCCTGAACGTTCATACTCTCAAGCATTGCACGATAACATTGTATTCAAGTTCAAATTGCTTTATCTGGCTGGATTGATTTCTAGAAATCATGTTAACCCTAAAGGGGCCGGGTTATTTTGACCATTTCTCAGCGGGGGGGGGGGGGGGGGGGGGGGGGGGATTCCCCCTAAGTGAAGAAAAATTTTGAAACTCAGCACATGCATAGCCCAAGAAATTTCATGACTATAGGTCTCAGGGTTTGGAATTATGGCTAATTAATTATTCAAATGTATGAATGGCAATTCTGCTCGGTGTACACGACGTATATGCGAAAATTAAGTTTTCACGGCGCGTAGCGCCGGAAAAAATTTCGCTACGGGCCAACCCGTGATCCGATTTTTATGTTTTTGGTATCAAAAGATGCGCAAAGCTCATGGCTTAAAAGTCATAACAGCTCGGGTCGCGAAAAAAATCTTTTTAGAAGCTATCGCGGAAAATGTTGAGGGGCGGGGCCGGATTCCGCCCCGGCCCCTTTAGGGTTAAGAGTTGATGTTTGTACAAATTATTCGGGCCGCCTGCTGAGCTGTCCGACTTCCAAGTTTTTTTTCAGCGATCGCCTTGATTTTTTTTTTTTTTTGGATTTTCGCTACCCAAGCTGTTATGACTTGTAAGCCTCGAGCCTTGCGCATTTTTTATACGCGCCGAGAAAAAAAAATGTTTCCATATACGTAGTTTACACAGAGCAGAATTACCATTCGTACATATAAATAATTAATTAGCCATAATTCCAAAGCCCTTTGACCTTTAATCATGAAATGTCTGGGGTATGTTCATGATAGGTTGCTCTATAAATGCACTGTCACTCAATGGCCGATATCTTATTAGGGGGCGGAATTCCCCCCCCCCCCGGCTGAGAGATGGTCAAAATAACCCGGCCCTTTTAGGGTTAGCATTGTTTAGTTCTGATATGCATGGTGTTTTATTTTTTTGTACATTCCTTCATCGAAAGTCATGTCATGTTATACTTTGTTTAAACACTATCACACAGTATCTTAAAGGGCAAATCCAGTGATTTCCCTGCCTGGGGTGGATGTTGTGCCGGGAAAAGGGGGTGGAAGGGCTCTTTCAAGTGAAATGTGGCCTGATTTGATACAACTTCGGTCACTGTTGGGGGGAGGGCGCCCCCTCCACACCACTGGATCCGCCATTGGTCTTGCTAAACCTCCCAATTTCATTGAACATGTGTTACTTTGGCAAACGTATGCATGAAGTCGAATTCCCGAGCGGGACTGAAATCCAAAGCACAATAATTCACTGCAAAGTAACGTCAATTTCAATTGCCAGCTTTTTAAGGCGTAAGGCGTATAATGTATATTTCCTTAAATATTTTGATTGGTCGCCAAAATCAACTTGGTTTGAGACTGATTGCCCGTTTTTATTCCAATTTGAAAGAAAGTGTTCATCACTGAATAAGCAAGGTGTAAAATTGGACGAAAAAAAAGGTATTTGAATGAAGAATTTACTGTTTTAAAATTCACACAATTATGCTTTCAAAAACATTTCAACAACTTACTAATGGCTTAAATATACATAAGATGTTTTTGGTATAATGAATTTGAAAATAAAGTGTAATGAAAGTGTTTGAAAATATTTAATGTTCATCTCAGGGAACATTCAGTTTCCTTAGAAATTTCACAAAGTGAGATTAAATCATGTTGCTTTTTCTGGACGTATTCCAATCAGGAAACTACAAATAATCGTTTGACCGTTGTTTTTATTAGTGAATAATTGAACCTGGTTTCGAATGACTATTTATCAAATTGGAAAAAAAATCCTCATAATTGAATTAAATCGATGAATTAATTCTGTCTTTCCTTACTTAAGGTTTTGATGCAGTTCAGTCTTACTTAGTGCCATTAATGTTTTGTTCGGAAAACGGAATTCAACAAACGGTTTAAAAATTGGCGGGAATTGCTGAAGAAAAATGAAATATGATTACAGAAAATACGGTGTATTATTCGCCAAAAATTCAGTCCAAACACAAGAAAAGAAATGGGCAAACAGAGCCTCCAATCATACTCTTATGAAACCACTGACCGGAAACACTAACGATTTCAAATGTCCCGCGCTGCGAATTTGTCGACCATCTCCCACAACGCACTGGGCAAAATGAACTCTCCGTGGCAAACTATTGGTGGCGCACTGCATTGTGAATTGCCCGAATTGCACAAAATAATACACTCATTCTGGAGAAGATAACTCAAGAAAAAACACATTGCATTGAATTGAAATTTCGTTCAATAATTGGTTGTGATATAATAGCACTCATAAAAATTAAAATCGACGGGAACCGTTGACGAAAGCAATGAATGCAACGAAAACAAATACTGCACTGTGTATAAGGTTTTGGGCACTGATCCCGTACATTTTGCCAAAAGCAATTTCTTCCAAAAGAGGGCGCGCTACACAATTAGCGGTCACTGTGAACACGGAGAGCTGTCCAACCGAAGTCGGCTTTAATTGAACAAAAACAAAACACTGGTTTTGGAGAAAAACATCTACAGAAAAACACATTGCATTGAATTAAAATTTCGTCCGATGATTGGTCGTAATATATGAAACAACTATAGTAAAAGTGGTCTAAGCGTTGAAGAAAAATGAATGATTACAAACATACAGTGTATTATTCGCTAAAAAGAATCTTAACACGAGTCAATTGAAATTGCACACAAATATAACATTCAATGTGGAGAATATAAGTCAAGAGAAAAAAACAAATTTCGTTCGATAATTGGTCGTGATATAATTATAGCACTCACAAAATTGAAATCGTCGGGAACTTAGACGAAAACAATGAATGCAACGAAAACAAATACTGCAGTGTGTAAGGGTGCACACCGGTAAATAGGCCTCAATCCGTGCTCATGAATAAAAATTATACCCTCATAATATTCTATATTAGAGAGTTCTGAGAGCCATAGAATTGGGGAATTGAAGAGATATGGCAATGAACCTCTGGCCCGGACTTGAGGCTTTCAATTCTGAGCATTTTGGATGCAATTTGGCTCAAACGTGGCGCTGTTGCCAATGTTTTGTAGGACGTTTTTCAAGATGGCTACCTTTCCGCTTTGGAGAAAATGGGGGTCGTCTTCCTTGGGTGTGAATTTCTTGAAAAGTCAATGGTCAACCCACCCAAAAATTTAAATAAAATGAAAGATGGCATGTTGGTCATCATTTTTTGAGGATTTTTAAAAGAATGTTGCAGTAAGGGCATGTAGAAATTTTAATGCATGGTTGCAACCATAGAGCCTGAAAGAACGCCATTTTGTCTTTGAGCGTCCCCCCACCCCACTCACACACACCCACCCGCACTCAACAAAGGCACAGAAGTGGGGTACTTCCTTTGTTCTCGTGTACTAAAATTTTGCAACGTCGCACACATGTCAAAATGCTCTTATTTTAACCATAGTTAATTTCCTGGGCTATAATTCGGACTAAATATTCCTTTTCTAAAGCTCTTCCATTTGCGACAAATCAACCCATCTTGGAAATTCCTAGTTTTTGAGTAAAATCCATATATCTATTTCGTGAAAAACTAATGGGGTGCCAAAACGGTACCCCGTAAGTCGGTGGGCATTCCTTGTGGGGTACCTCCCATTGTTCCGGTACCCCATTAGGCAGTGTTTGTACACGCACACACACACACGCGCACACCCGACCTTAATTTCTATGGGCATTTTACATTGGGTTGCCCTTTCTCTTTATTGTTTCTAGTCAAAATGTCTTTTATACAACTTCTTCAATTTATCTAACCTCAATTTTTTTTTTCAAAACTTTCCTATTCTGTTTTTGTCACTCTCCCTTGATTTGTTTTTAGTTTGAGATATTGGTTTCTTTACAGATGAAGATCTGCGTTGCCACCATTATGTCAATCGCCCTCCTTCTGGGGAACTCTGTCAAGCTCCGAGCTTCCGTTACTGGGCCAGTTCCCTCGGATGGCGATGGTCCTGCGTCTCAGGTGTGTCAGCAGTGCTGCCAGGGACCTGCTGCAATTCCCGGCATACCAGGTCTGCCTGGACCGGTGGGACCGATTGGGCCGTATGGTCAGCCGGGGTCAAAGGGCGATGTAGGTGAGCTAGGTCAAAAAGGTGAGAGTGGCCCAAAAGGACCTATTGGTGAGCGGGGAGCACCTGGGAACACTGGGTCTAAAGGTGATTATGGGATTAGTATGCCTGGCAAGATAGGTCCAAGAGGTATGCCAGGTATCGTCGGAAGAATCGGAGAAACTGGTGCCAAAGGTCGGAAGGGTGAGCCAGGGGAGACACCAGACAACTCCGACCAGCGAGTAGCATTCACGGTGACGAGGACGAGCAGCTCGGGTGAATCTTCGAGTCAAGACACCCGTTTGCCCTTCCAGCAGACCGAGATGCTTCTGCCGGGTACCAGCTTCGATCTGGAGACCGGTACGTTCACCTGTAGTGTGCCGGGCACTTACGTATTTGCATTTTCTGTTCTCAAGAATAGCAAAAACGGTTATTTAAACATCCATCTTTTTAAAAACACTTACCCGGTGATTAGTACCTATAGTACATCAAATCAACGTGGTCAGTTGTCTGGCAGCGCGGTTCTGGTTCTGCAGCGAGGAGACACAGTATATTTGACTATGTACGGTATGGCGCATAGTGAGTCCAAGTATCACTACACCTCATTCAGTGGCTTCCTCCTTTACCCCGAATAAATAAATCAAATTATCACCAAACAAAAAATAAACAGTAGCAATGCTGCAAAAATCAAGTCGCTTTCCATTTTGCCGAAACAATTACTAATGAATCAAAATAAATAATGTTCAATGTCATTTTAATAATGACGACAAAATGTCTCCTATAGGTACCGTTAAACAGGTGTGATAAAACTGGTTGATTATTAATACATGTATAGCATTGTACATTAAAATATAAACACGGTTTACAAGACAGTAAAACTAATTATAAAAAATATCACTAAAAATCAGATAAAAATAATACTTGTTTTTTTTCTATGAAATTAATTTAAGCTGTGATTTAAAAAAAAAAAAAAAAATCATCAATCCTTCTCGATTAAGCTGGAAGTCTGTTCTACAGATGCATACATGGTAAAAGCACGAACACCGTATGCCTTGTCAGGCTTTGGACGAACTTCAAGACGGTTGAACTTAACCCTATCACAGCCATTAGTGCGAATGTAACACTCATTAATTGATATCAACTCGACGGATAATTTTAAAAACTAACTAAGGATCTTGAATTCAACCCTTACCGTATAACCGAGAGCCAATGTAGTTCCTGAAGTATGGATGCATGTCTACATGACGATTTATCCTTCTCGAGATATTACAAGTCTTGAAGCAATATATGATGTCATTTCTTAAGCTGGTAATCGTTTGAACCAAAACAGGAAGAAATAAACTGTTCCAATAATCTAATCGAAAACTAACAAATGCACGTATGTATAAATAATGTATTTGTTTACATTTGCACCGCACAGTTCCATATAGACAATAGGTTTTTAAAAATGTGACTGCTTGTAATAAACTGAACCCCATCACAGCTTTTAGTGCGACTGTTAAAGAGCCAACGTAGTTCCTGAGGTACGGGCGTACGACCCTTCCTTCTGCATGCTGTTATTTCTTAAACTGGTAATCGTATGAAAAAAAAAAAACATAAACCGTTACAATAGTCTGTCTGGGAAGTAACAAATGCATGTATTAAAACATTATTATTATTTTTTTTTTTTTCATTTGCATTTCGCATGTCGTATACAGCCAGAGATTAAATGAAGTCTGGTGATATCATTTATTTATCCTCGGAAACTTCTTTTCTTAAAAAAACAACAAGAGTTTCAAATTGCGCCACAGTGAACCAAGAACTCTCAACTTGTGTTAAACACCTCATTTTGTATCCCATGTTATACATGTATAATTGAGTTTTTGTTTCATGAAAAGTTGAGTTTTTGAGCTTTCACTATGATGAAATTGTTTACGATTTAATGTAGTTTGAGTTGATAATGTGACACTATATAAGCAGATTACGCAATTATGATTATATGGTATATAGTTGATTCTAAGAAACATTTTTTTCCAAGTATACCTTTGAGGATGTGCTCTGTTTATAACAGCCTAACTAATTTCAGCACAGAAAATAATCATATAACATGTAATCAGAATCGAATATAAATACTCGAAAACTGTATTTTGAACAGTACTTTAATTAATCATTTAGCTTTTAACAATGTGGGAAACCTTGTCCAAATCGTAATACCCATCGAATTCCTCTCAGGAAAGTAAAATTACAGAGAAATATTGTCGTTGAAATGAACAAGGAAATCACAGTCTGAATCTTACGAACACAATACGGTCTTATTAAATACTTAAATCTGTAATTATAGATAACAACTTTAATCCTTTGATATCACAAATTATTGCAAACAAAGTCAGTTAATTACCTGTAATTTTGTCCATTTTGGTTTGTTTTGACTTCTAGATTAGGGGATCGGTGTTAATGATAGGCCGGGTTAACATTGGTTGAGGATGGATTGGGTGAAGGATGAATGATTAGTGGTGTCGAGGGGGTTAGGAATTGAAGATGAGGGGCAGGAAGCAAAATATGATGCCGACTGCTACTTCATCAAAAACAATGAATGGCACTAAGACGATGGTGTAGTCTACTTATCCCATTTACCCCACGGATTCTTAAAATCCTAAAACATGTAGACAGAACAAAATGAGAAATGAAAAATGCTGGATGTCAGGCCCATGTATCTTTGCCCCCCTCCCCCTTCCCCAACACAACCGGAAGCCCACCGACAGTGTTGTTCTGCATCCGCCTGTGAAGGGCAGGGTGTTCAGGTTGGCTTGGGTTTGAAGGGTGATATAGATAAGGTGGTTGCGTTTTGCAGATTAATAGGAGATGGGTGAGAATGAGAGGGATAGCATTGGTGAGAGTGGCTGAATAGGGTGAAAGTTGTACAATTTCCTCATACGCTCATCTTACAAACGCCGAGAATGTTAGAGCCAGGGTCATAGCCACGTGCATGGGAGAGGTGGGTGTGTGCAAGGGCGGATCCAGGAATTTTCGCAGGAGGGAGGGGTTCATCGGCAAAACAAATCTGACATGCAGACAGGTTTTTTTCTCCGGACACTTGGCCGCCAAAAGGCGGACATTATTATTATTACCAGTAAAACATGTTCTTCCGCAATTTTTGAATATTCGTTGGCAGATTTATTTCAGTAAAAATAGTTTTGCTGTACGTTCCCATCGTGGTAAACCATGGCCCCGGATGCGAATTTTCTTTTCCTAAACTACACCCACATGCATGGTTGTTTAGCGCCCTCTACGATACTTTTATGATACGTACGCAGGTATATAATTATATTTCCCCTAACATTTTGGCGAGCAGTGCGATAGCTCAGTCGATAGGGTTGTGATTTTGAATTGCAAGGTTGCAGGTTCGATTCACCGTTGATTTGTCCCCGATTAGTTTTTCTGTTCTAAACTTAGGCTTCAGAGGGTATTTTGTTAAAGGGAAATAAAGTCCGAATTTCATTACGTTCGAATTCATTTCTTTTTTTCTAATTTATATTTTTTTCTCACGTTTTTAGAAAAGAAAATTCCAAACGCCATAGCGTACACCCATTATGCGAATGACGTTTGGGAGAAAAAAAAATCGAGCCCATGCAGGATGGTAAAGCGTGCACACCGGTAAATAGGCCTAAACTCATCAACCAAGTGCATGGAAGAAACTTAAACCCTCAAAATATTCTATATGGGTCATTCCATGTCAGACCGACGCACTTTTTTACCTCATGTCTTCCTATTTTGATAAAAAATGCTGTGCTTGTAGGGCCTGATGAGCAATGAATACACACCAATTTTTAGCCTGATCCGACCTACTATGAGGTCAGGGCAGAAACCATAAAAACGGACATTTTGATGGTAAAATACCACCCTTTCGGAAGAAATATGTCAAAACCATGTCAATGTTCATCGAATATATGCGAATTTGGTATCAAAATAATAACAATTGCATGCTCAAATCAACTCTTTTGTCAAAATTAAATTTTAAGAAAAGTAGGTCACGTGACCTTTAATATGTTATGGTGACTTTTGACCCAATTTATGCACTTATGTATCATTCCGAAATCAATGAAATTAAAATGACTTGATAGATAGAGCATGTCTTCCTCTATCAGAATCTACTAAAAATCAATTGGGGTCTTCAAAATTTACAACTTTATGACTATTTTTTTACTGTTGGATGGATACAAATTAAAGGCTTTACATTAGAAATCCACCCTCACAACTTACTATTCTAAAGGCGCCTATAATGACCAAGGAGCACAGCCTGAAATCGAAAGAGTTTGATTTTGCCGGAGGGAGGAAAACCGGAGGGCACGGAGAAAACCCTCGTGGCACAGGAGAGAACCAACGCACAACTCTATGCTCACATGTGATCCGCGGCCAGGATTCGAACCGTCATTTGTGGTCACCTAGGTGAGAGGCGAAAACCACCCACAAACCACCCACGCCGCCCTAAATGCTAGTATAATGTAGTTTGGAAAATAATGAAGGAAAACTGAAACGCATCCCCACGCCTTTCGATTCTGTAACGGCTAGCTTGCCGGGTATCAGGCACTTTCACCTGCCCCTCCCCTCCCCACTCATAGCCTAACATAACGGAAGCACATCGACAATTTGGTTCTGTATCCGCCGTTGAGGGGCAGGGTGGTCAGGTTGGGTTGGGTCTGAAGGTTGTAAGGCATTAATTAGGTGGTTGCGTCCCGTAGATTGATGGGAAATGGGTGAGATGGGAGTGGGTGGCAAAGCCTTGGTGAGAGAGGCTGAATAGGGTGAAACCCACGTCAGCTTACGGGCATGCAGGTATGTTAGGGGCAGGGTTGTAGCCAAGTGCAGCGGTGAGGTCTGAGTACCCGATTTAGTACGGTCTGCGCATTGAACAGGCGGCCAGCTCCTGATGCCAGACGGCGTAGTACGGACGTCCTGTCCTCTTTGTCACTGGTTATAGCTGTCCCAACATCCCCCCTATGTTTTCAAATATCCGATCGCAGATTTATTTTAGTAAAAATATGATTGCTGTACGTTCCCATCGTGGTCGAACTCATGGTCCCGGCCGCATTTTGAGATACTTTACGTCACTTCAAACTCAGTGGCGTAACCCGGAAAGCTAGGGAGGGCGTGCCTCACCACTCAGCCTGCCTGGGATTCGGGGAGGCGCTTAACTCTTTGAATGCTTCCTCCAGAAAATGAGGAGTCTAAATTAAGGTCCCTTGAATGAACCACGCCAATGAGTAATACTTCGCGGCGTAATATCTCTCGAAAATACTAGGTTTGAAAACTACACACCCTAGCAAGGTAAAAGAACAGGTACTGTTTGGAGTTGTGGGCAGTATTGTTCCGCTAGAAATCAGGCACACTCAGGGGCACACTTAGTGATTATTTTGGAGTTTCGGTAGAATGTGGGCCACCGTCCTTTCAAAGTTTCTCAGTAGGCATTCTGATAGGCCGGCCTATTTTAGCGGGGAAAACTGTTAGTTGTCATCAGCAGAAAACTGATGAGTGAATAACTAAAAACAGAGACACTCGATAGGTTACCCAACGAAAAACAAATGTCACAACATGACTGTTAATGCTGTAAAAATAGGTTTACTCTTCCTCTTCCTGTCGACGT